CCTTTTATATTCGCAGTTATCGTCAAATCTAGTTACTATAAGTACACCATATCTATGTAAGTTAAATAAAAACGTCCTTAGCAAATATAATATTATTAAATCAATTGTTATTATTATAATTATTTGTATTTTTTATGCCATTTAGATATAATAAGTCTATATAGATGTAATTGTTAAGGCTGTTCATCACTCCTGATTTTATAATAGTTTAAGGCTTCAATTAGTATAGACGTAATTTTTGAACGATTTTGATGAATAAGCTCTCATTTTAAGGCTGTTCACTAGCCCTGATTTTATAATAGTTTACACCATCAATGAGAACAGACGCAATTCTTGAGCGATTTTAATGAACAAGATATCATTTTAAAGAGGAAGATTTAATATAGAATATATCTTTTTTAAATTTTTGAAAAACTTTATTTTTCTTAAAAAAAGTCGTGTTATCATTTTTTAACACGACTATTATTTTTTCGAGAATAATTTATACACTTCAAAAAGTTAGTTTAAGCTTTTTAAGAAATTCGGAAAAGATATATTCTAGAAAAAATCTTCGTCTTTAAAGTGAGACTTTGTTTATTAAAATCGGTCAAGAATTACGTTAGTTCTTATTGTTGGCATAAATACTGTTTACGATATTTTTCGCGTAGAGAAAGTTTTATGTGTGGCGCCCCTCGAAATTTACGGCGAAAGAGAAAAAGCTCGTACCCCCACTACTGATTTTCATATATACGCTTGAATGGTGTATGTATGCTGTAAAGTAGCGATAGCTTGCTTGTAGTGCATAAATAGTTGATATTAAGATTTTCTGAAAATTTACAAATGCAAAGAAATGCGTTTTACAATGCTCGCACGAAGAAACTATGCTAACTCACTCGGTTACTCTTCGGACAGATGATTCTATGACAAAAATAAGGAAATTTGTGTCCAATGTTACGAAGATTATTACGCGTGAAAAACTACATATGATCTGTATAATATAAATATATACGGTCTTTTGATTAACTTTGACGATGACAAAGTTAATTTACTTTTGTACTCCGACGCGTGAAGATTGAAACTCTCGCTTCCTAAATGTGTAAATTTATAAATTAATATTTCTATAATTTTATATAATTATTATCTATAATTTTATAATTATTGAAACAATATATGCTATATATGTGGAGTACAATAAACTAATATTTAAACAATCGTACATTCATTTAAACATTACAAAGGCCGTAGCGCGCGAGAAATTTAAAATAATTTTAATTTAAAATTCTAATATTTAAAAATTTTAATCCCGGGATAGTTGGCCTTGTGTATTACAAACATAAACACACTTTTTTTGACTTTGACGATGATCGAGTTAGTTTTCTTTTGTACTCCGACGCGTAAACATAGAAACTCTTTCTTTCTAAACGTGAAAACTTATAAATTAATACTTTCGATAATTTTTCGATAATTAATTTCTGTTATATATGGAGTACAATAAACTAATATTTAAACAATAGTACATTTGTTTAAACATTAAAAAGACCGAAACGTGCGAAAAACTTAAAATAATTTTATTATAAAATTCCAATATATTAAAATATTAATCTCGTATATCACATTTCTTGAATAATTTATACAATATATTTTTTTTTAGTCTTAAATTTTGAATTGGCGCTCGTTGGTTACGTGCGACGTCAATAAAATCAAATCTCTGAACGATTTCGATTGTTACTGGATTGTTCTTCCTTTGTTTCTCGATTATTGAAGATTTTTCAGAATATCTTTCTTACTAGTAACAAAAAAGTAAGTATATTTCTATATCATACATTTTTTGAATAATCTATAGATTTTCTTATTACAACAGTGATACTAATAATTTTGTTCGAATTTTCTGTTTCAGAACTTCATAGCAATCGCGCGCATAGCAATGAAGTAATGGAGTGTTTGTATCTGTAATGAGTAATTAGTGTATTTAGTTTATATGAAAAAATTAAAATATCGCGAAGTAGAAACAGTGTTTGTTTATTCGCTTTTCGCGATTTAAGCAAGTGTTTTTGCATTGACTGCATGCAATGCAGTCATTAGAGTCAGTGTTTATTCGCAAATTGTTTTACATTTTTAACAGTCGCACAGACTGTATTTATAAAAGACAGTGGAGTTTCGCGAAGTAAATTTAGTGACCGTCCGTTAATAAATAACTACGGCGAATTAAAGTTAGTGGATCATTGAAAATGTTCTTGTGGAATAATGGGTGTAGGGATGTAGATTTGAAAAATTAAGACGACGTAACATTCCATCTCCAGTCCCATATTGCTACGCGTATGGATTATTTCATATTTTATGCATTTTTACCATTAAAATCAATACAGAAATTTCGTACTTCTCTCTTTCCTAAAGTTCAATTAAATTCATAATTTTACTTAAATAAAATCGAATTCTATATTAAAGTATATTAAAGTAGCTACGAAAAATATAAGATATGGCAATTGTAGGGACCACTAAAAATGCACTGAATAAAGATACACATGGAACTGAAACAAGCATACTGGAATGTGTGTAAAGTTTTGCCATCCGTTACTAAAATAATATTTCTTTCAGAAAAAATAATATTTCTTTAAATTAGTATCAACAATTTTTCATTTTCTTTTAGTTTTCTAAAATTAAATTAAATTAAATTAAATTCAGAATTTTATCTTTCATATAAATAATATATAGACATATTACTTATATATATTTATATATATTCTTTTTTCTTTCCTTATTTCTTTTCAGCTAGTTCCACGTAATGAGATCGCTAATTCGAGAAAAATTAATAAATAAAATTATTTTACTAACATTTAAACAATGTACGAAGTAAATGATCTATAATGAATTAATATTTAAACAACAGAACATTCTTAGCAACATTATGAAAATTATAAAACACGATCAATATAAAATAATTAATAAAATAATATAAATTTAATAATAATAAAATAATTAAGTAAAATTAATAAATTTAATTTTACTTTCGACACACATAAATTAACATTTGACGAACATTCGAACAATGTACAAGGTATATGAATTATAATTAGTTACTATTTATATCTATATTTAAACACTATCTATATTTAAACTTATCTATATTTAAACACTATCTATATTTAAACTTATCTATATTTAAACACTACACATTCTTAGCAACATTACAAAGATCATATACGTATATTATCATATATTATCGATTTAAAATCGACTTCGTTGAATATACACTGACTTAGATTTTTGTATTAAAGGCCATAAATGAATCTCCAGATGCAACAGTCTCCACGTGGTGAGACCTGGATCTGTGGTAGTTGCGATATATCGAAATTTTTTGGTAAGCAAGTACTATTGAGCGAATGGTTACATATTTCAAGAATATTTTTTTAATCTAATTCTAATTAAACATTAAAGTACTCAAATTTTACATTGTTAATCATACTTGAATAGATAAATGGATTGAATATACTAGAATTATAAAATAATTTCTTGAAGAAACGCACAGAAAATTATTCTATCCCATTTTCTCTCACCATTTTCCCTCGCCATTTTTATGTAATTTTAAAGTATTTATTTTTATCTACTATTATTAATTATTATTTATAAGTTTCAGGTGGGATCCATGGATAGGGCTCATGGGTATCGGTCTTTGTGCGGGCTGCTAACTCAGCATCATGAAGAGCTGCTTTCTTTTTCTTTTCTTTATCTTTTCTTTTTTTTTAGGGATCATTAAGAGATTATCAAGGGACAATGAAGGACGACAAAAGATCATCGAGGGACGTCGAGGAATATTGAAAGACATTGAGGGATGTCAAGGGAGTCGAAAAACGTCGATGGACGTCGATGGACGTCGAGGGACGACGAGGGATGACGAGGGATATTGAGGGATGACGAAGGACATTGAGGGACATCGAGGGACATTGATGGACGTCGAGGGACGTCGAGGAACGTCGGGGAACGTCGAGGAATAGATTCATCTGTGGTCGGGTGATTGATTGAATTTTTACAGGTGAATAAAAGTCCTACGATAGTGGATTTTGTTTGATTATTCGAAATCTTGATTAGTTTTACAGTGGTGTACGTAGTTGACGATATTGCGATGGTCTTATTATCTATAAGAGGGAACTAACCATCCTCCGTTAGCATTGGGAGCCAGAATTCTCGGTTAGCTCAGATTATCCCGGGTACGTTGATTTTAGTGTAGAGTCACTATTATTTTAATACTCGCGTGGATGTCCGGGCGCGATTAAAAGTTCTACCATAGATTTCGTTGTATTGTTCGAAATTCGGGATACACGAACGGTTCTACTTAGAAGTGGAGTATATGTAGCTGCTGATGTTGCGACAGTCCTGTTACCCGTAAGTGGGGACTGACCCTTCTCTAGATAGCATTGGGAACCAGAGTTCTCGTTTAGCTCATATCACCTTGGATTTCAACGTAAAGTCACCGTTATTCTGACACTCATGTATGTTCGTGGAAACGATTAAAAGTCCTATCGGGCACTTCGTTTTATTTGTTTGAAAATTCGATTAGATTACCTCACGAATGCGGATTTTAGTGTAGTCCCATTAGTCTGAGGATTTTCACATGTAGCAACTACCTCGTAGAGAGATCTGGATCGATATTGCAATATATTGAAATCTAATTATATATCATATAATGCAAGTACTATCGAATGGCTACATATTTCAGTGTATTTTCAAAATCCCTTTAATTCTGATTAAACACTAAAGTACTAACATTTTACATTGCCAATAATATTTCTACAGACAAATAGATAAGATATAGTTAAATTCAAAGATAATTTCTTTAAATTCGCAAATTTATATATTAATTATCATATATGTTAATTATATTTATTTCTTATTCTTTATCGTGAAACAAATGCGTACCAACGTCGTATCTAACACGGATCACTGCAAGACGCATTCCTACCATTAAAGAAAAATATACATATGAGAGACTGAAAAATATGAATTCATATTATACTAAACTACTTATTCTAACCCACCAAACCAATTGTTATGTACGCGTGAGAGAGGTATAACATATATAAGCTTTTATTACGTTTGTAGTTCATATTTTGTCCATATCTGTCGCTGAAGTCGCATACGTTGCGAGCGAAATATCATGAGCAGAAAACAAATTGATATAAGAACTATTAAAAAGTACCTTTAAATTAATCAATTAGATCATGATGTTTCAATTACGTCACAAAAAGGATATTTAAAAATCATTTATTTATTTATTTTTATCATATTATTAAAACGCTTGTTATTCTAATATGATAATAATATTAAAGAGGACTTATAAAGATATAAAAAGAAAAAATGATGAAACATTGTTTAATTTGGTGCAATTAATTTAGTGTCATTTGAGTATAGGTTAAATGCAGTATGCATTTGCGTTGCACATTGTGCAAACGTTTGAGTAATCCTTGTAAAAAAGTAAACATATATGCATAAACAATCATGTTTAAGATCATTCGACGTTGTTATGTACTTATCAAAAGTTTAAATCTAATGTAGTTTATTATAAATTGTTACGTTTCATCGAACAATCTTTTTCTGAATAAAAATATTTGATAAATATTTTTTTTTAAATGTATTTCTTATTTTTTGTTTATTAAGAATAACAATAACACCATTGTTCTTTATTTCGTTCTGGTTATAAATTGTTTTTAAAGAAAAATACAATTTCTTATAATTAAGTATGGAAATCAACCCGTTAAGTATAATTCTTGTAAAAAGTGACAGCAAGGGTGACAGACTTCTATTTCGATATCCACATATGATGAGTCATGTGCGTGATTCAAAACAATGCACAAAACGTAAAAATCCGTATTCCTTGACAACTACGGAAGATTTATTGCAGGTGAATTCGAGATTTATCATGTTTAACTATCTAATGTTATTGTAGTTAATTTACTATTAGATCTTCATTAGCAGTCTCTACCATTTCCAACTTCTAACATAAACAATGGAAATCTTACTGGCTTAAAGGATGAAGTACTTTCAACATTATTTGCAGTTAAACCTGAATTGTGTGAACAAAAATTTGAATTGAAAGTAAATGATGTTCGCTTCGTTGGACATCCTACTTTAATACCACAGCGTGTTTTTAAAGAAGTCAATTCTTCTATGCTCTTTAATGTAGTGTTTGCTTTACAAGCTCAAGCAAGTCATTCTGTAGTAAAATGTTATTATGATCTAAGCAGAAGGTTTGTTCTGTATAAATATTTAATAGTCACAAAATTCAAAAGATAAGTAGTTTACTTTCATTTTAGATTGGGCATTGCATTAAGGCACGAAGAAAAAAGATGTGGTTTTTTGACAGATGAAATTAAGATTATGGTATCAACTCATGATGAAATTACTGCTAGGTAAAGGAAATGTTTATTTGATTATTTTTTATGTAATAACAATTATAAATTTTTAACATATATGTACATATATTTTTAGATCAGAGGGTGAAAGTGATAGTGATGAATCTCCATATGAATTGATATTGCAGAAAAGTTTACTTGCTCGTAATTTAAAAACAGTTTTCAGTAGTATTAGTACATCTGGTATAATTAATATTATGATTAATAAATGGATACAAGTGCGGTTTTGTCTTCCACAAAAAGTTCACCAATCATACAAGAAAGGTTTCTTCATTAATCCTGAGATTATTGATAGGTAAAAATAGCAGAATTTTACATAAATATATTTGCATAGTTTCTGAGAAAAAAATAATATTAATAATTATTTACAGATGTTTAAACAGTTTAAGACCTTATCATGGACTGCTTTTGTTAATTGAACCTTCAGACTTATTAGATTCATTGCCAATAGATTCTTCTCCAGCATTAAGACGTCTAATTCAAATGTATAATCCATTAAAGAGTCTACAAACATTAGCAGCTGATTCAGATCTAACACTGACACAAGTATTCCAACTGACTGGACATTTAGTTTATTGGGCTAAAGCTAGAATAATTTATCCACTTTGTGAAAGTAATGTTTATGTTGTATCACCAGATGCTATTTTATCTAATCAATTATTGGAAGCATTTTCTGAACAATTTTCTGGACTTTGTCTTCTACAAGTATGCATAGAATTATATTTATTAGTTTACAAAATTCCACAAATCATAATCTATGCTGCATATTTTTTTAGGTTATTAGTGATTTTTCCTTGCCAACATCAATTAGTCAAAAATTAAATCCTTTAAGTCAACCTCAGCAACAAACACAATTAGTAAAAGTCATTATATGGTTGCTCAAAAATCATCTACTTTTGCAATTGCATACATATGTTCAATACATGCCAACAGTACATGGTCTTGTATTACTGGTAAGTAATGATAACTTTTTTCTTATAGTCTGTAAACACAGATATAGATTATCTATTTTTTTTAAAGGACTCAAAAGAGCAAGCAACTTTTGATGTAAATCATATTGATGAAACTGAAAATTCTTGGGATTTTGATGAAACTAATAAAGGAATAATTACTGATGTAAAAGAAGAGCTATCTCATACTTTACATAAAAAAGAAGTGTTCTATAATTATCCATCAGAAAGTTATGATATTCCATCTGATGACAGAAAGTTACTCGATAAATTGTGTCGGCTTGGATATTTTAATGGTGGACATCATCTAGAAGAAATAATGTATTTAGAAAATATTAGAAGATCTCAATTATTGCAAATATTAGATAAATTTAGAGATATACTAATAACACGTGAATGTGAAGATCCTGCAATAGATATGTTTCATACTCAGTTAGGATCTTAGTCATACTATTTTACATGATAGTACAGTAAGAATAATTACAATTAAACAGTATTAAATTCTTCTATTCTTTTTGTATATCTTTTGAAATTGTAATCATTTTATTGATTGTAATCATATTAAATTGTAATCAATTTATAATCAACTTTTATTTGATAATAAAAATATATCAAGTAAGCTAAATGTAATATAAATGTAAATCTAATAAAATTATTAAAAGGCTTAATTTATATTTTACATATATTTTTAATTCTTGCATAAAAAGTTCCCATGATATATTTTCCAAAGTACTTATGTATTTACAAATTTATGTTTTATACAAATAAAATGATAATATGACAATAGTGAGATTTATTTTATATATTTATTTATACAATAACCATTATAATAAATTATATATATAATATATATATATATATATATATATATATATATATATTTATATTTATATTATGTGGTAGTGATAATATATTGCTAACGTTTGACACAATTTTGGCAAATATGTTGGATAGTACAGGATATTGCCTTACGAAATTCGCACATTCAAATGCGACTAATGCGCATTATACACATTACTTTTTGATTGGAATCATCACCGAGCCTCTATTTAATTTTGGACTTTGCTTTCTTGCAGTCGTACTTATGTCATACATATTAATAAACAACATAAGATGTTCTATTTAATAACTATAATTATTATATAATTATTATAATAAAAAACTTGCAAAAATGATCTCTCTATTGCACGACTTGTTTGGATTTTTTGAGCTATCATGATATCAATAAATAATCTTTACAAAGATTTTGATTTGAATTTTCTTTATATAAGTAATGTTTTTTAATGTAAATATATATAGATACCATTACAATCTTCCCATTAAACATGTTTTTGCAATGATCATTTAAGTATCTTTTGCTATTTTTCAATATGTATGACTTACTTGAGAATCTAGCATTACATTACTTCTAATAATCTTAATTAGAAGAACATTTGTTTCTGAAACATTTAATTATCTAATACAATAATCGTAAAGCATATATATATGTAGTAAGTAAAACTCTTATACCAGAGGCAATAGTTCTATACATGTACATTGATTTCATTGGCAGGTTGAATCTCTAAACAAATTTTAGTAAATGCACAGTCATTCTTAGTATTTCTATATTAATTTTATGACATCTGCTAGATGTAATGTGTATATATATATATATATACACACACATATACATATACACACACACACACACACACACCATTATACGTAAGAGAGTATAAACTTACTATTACTAAAAGGTGTCTCTTAATCATGATATGGGCCACATATTAGAACGTAGGCAGCTATTATGAAATATTGATAATGCTAAAAAGACTGTTTATATATGCATTTTACAATTGACATAAAAGGAGAAACTTGATTTTATAAATTAAGAAGGATTTTTTGTTTTCCTGCTTTTGGTACTCTGAGTTATCGAACTACTATCGGGGTCAGATATAAGAATTTTTATTCTTAAATCTACATAATACCAAAGAGAAAACGTACTATTTAAAAAAAAAGATAAAAAAAAACCAACTTCGATCATTACAATAATTACTAAAGCAGATGTATGGTCGACAGTTGAAAAAATACGTTTTATCACAACATTCATGATATTTGTTTAATCGCATTTAATAATTTTGCGATAAAACAAATTTTCATAAAAATGTGTGTAAGTTTATACACTTTTTACATTAATAATTTGTACAATTTTTCATACATTATCTAATTTCCGCATCATTTACATATGACTCCGACAATAGAACCCTATCCATCAGAAGAACAATTTCCAAATAAATTCTTGTATAATAAATAATTAAGTAACAACAATCAAAATATCTCTTACAACATATATGTATATATTTAGATTAATGAATAACAATTATATATTGTGTAATGTACATGCAAATCACGCTGCAAAAAAAAATAGCTTCATTATAGAAATCAAAATATGTAAAATACTATATTAGATATTAAGCACCTTAACCTGAGAAAAAATATTATGTATAATTATAACTAGAAATTGCTGTTCATGATCGAAATATGTATAAACCACTATAATTCGTATTTTTTTCTTGTTTTGTTTATGAGCAAATAAATAAAGAAATTTCTTTTGTATAATTTGAATTCTGTATAATATAAGACTGCTAACAACTTCCAGATACTTAAGCTAAGCCAATATAGACATCCATACAATATTGATATTATAATTTAAATATTTGTCTATGTAACTTTGGAAAATATATATATACTTTTACTTTAAAAACAGAAGTATTTCCTTTTTTTTGTATTGACACTTGTAAATAGCAATATGAAAGAATAGTTTCTTCTATAAAATAGATATAGAATAAATGTACAATGGACATAATTAGTATATGATATTAATATTTAATGTGCAAGAAGAGACAAAATATTACTGATCGTAAATATCTTTGACTCTACATTATATTATGATATATTTGATGAAACTATGTACTTAGCTTTTAAAAAATGTAGAAGTACAGGATTTGAAGTGTATTTAATATCTAATCCTTGTTATACTTACTTTACAACAGTTATCATGCGTATATATCCCTAGACATTTCTCCCTTTATGTCTTAGAGCAAATCTAAATGTTTCATGTATGTTATAGTATATTCGAATGCACAAAAATTTGTTAACAAATAAACAGTACAAAAAATAAACATAATCACAGCTGAGTTGGCAGGCAGGTGGGCAGACGCAGGCATACATTTGAACAGGCTCATTAGATGTAAATACATTACATCATTTTTTACATGATTTTGTTACATGATCAATGCTTTTTTAAGTCTGCTAATCCCAGTTCATTGACAGATTAAGCCTTAAACGTAGTCATTAGTTCCAGGACTCGTTAATGGTTCCTGAGCCTATTTAAACAATAAAGATAATTAAAATATTTAAGTGCATGTAGTTCTGTGCATATGTGTCTTATAATGTATATACATATAATCGAATTTAACATCAGAATTTTAATAATAAATAAATATATAAATATATATACCTCTTCTCCAACTGTAGCAGCAGGATGGGGAAATCTGTTTTTTTCGAGACTAAACTGATCTTCAGTAGTTTTTCTATATACAGGATTGTCGAAGTTCATACTTGTAACATTACGATGAAGATAATGCCTATAGCACAATACTGCCACTAATGCAAGTAGCAATAGGCCTAAAGATACCACCCCTATAACAATACCAGCAACTAAACCAGGATCTGTTGACTCACTTGCAGAATCTTTTTTTCCGGTATCCACCGAGGTTATCGGATCTAGGAGTAATATATTTGTAAAATTAAAAAAAATATATAAATATGAACTATATTAACAAAAAATTATTTTAATTAAAAAAGAACAAAAAATATAATAATAATATTATAATTTATATCATTAATAGTGCAAAAGTATAATATATGATGCACACAAAAGTGTGATATTACAATAATTACATATATGAGAACTAAGCATGCAAGATATACTTACGAATAGTTGTTGTAATGTTCTGAGGTTCAAGTTTATGAAATAGTTTAGCACTTTGTTGTGTTGTTGGTTCTACGGTAGTAGTTACTGCAATATTCCATATTCATGCAACAGTAATGCGAATGAATATAATAAAACAGATATAAATTAAATATATAAAGAGTTGCAGTAAAAATATTAAGAAACTTAATTAAATTTAAGTTTATTTCAGCTTTTTCTATTTTTTTTTTTATGAAAATAAATATATCATCCATAAAATGACATACATATCAATAAATAGCAATAGAACATCTCTAAAGATCTTGCAATATGAATAATAGATTTCAAATATCTTAATAATCATGCAATTGTTCTTAATTCATTATTTTATCAAAATAATTGTTCATGCTTTTTCATTTGAGACATTCAATATACTAATGACTAAAAATAGATTTTTATATCCCTTACCATTTTCTACACACATTAGTCCATCAGGTAGTAGCCTTAGTCCATCCGGACATGCACAACTAAGAAGTGGAGATCTTGAATTAATCTTAGGCGCAGGTAAACATAAATGACTGCAATGACCATTAACAGCCTGACATTGATTCATTCCATCAGGTTGCCTATATGGATGATACACATGTACCACCATTGGTTGCTGAGGTGACCTTACAGATGTAACAAGCTCTACATCCTTGCCAGTGAATTTGTTTGCTTTAAATATGGTCTCTTTATCCCAATCTGTCCAATAAACATAATCTTCAAAAGTTGTAATACTAAATGGATGTCTCAACATTTCTGTTGAATAAAGAACTGTTCGTCTTCCTGAACCATCATAGTTACAAGATGCTATAAAGTTAAGTTTAGCATCTACCCAATATAATCTTTTACCAATTAAATCCAAAGTCAATCCATTTGGCCACTTTATATCGTGTCCGACAATAACCTGTTACAATTTTATTAACATATCATGATTATATTGCTGTTACCAATTTTATAGATTTAATTATCTAAAGAACTAAGTACTATTTGAATTAAAAAACTTACTGAACGATGAGAACCATCCATACCGGCTCTTTCTATACGAGCTTCGTCACTCCAATCAGTCCAAAACATCCAACCATCCAAAGGATTTAGAGCGATAGCTCGCGGCTCTTGTATGTGATCTTTAATGAGAGTTTTTCTCATGTTTCCTTCGAAATTAGCTAATTCTATTGTATCTTTTCCAGAATCGGTCCAATATATATGACTATATATCCAATCTACTGCTAATCCATCTGATGTGGTTAAATCATCTTCTATTACAACCGTACGGTCATTTCCTTCATCTATCGGTGCTCTAAATCATTTTGAAGTTTAACTAATATTCTTAACGATATAAACAAAAAAAAATGTTTATACACACTTACTTATAAATTTTTCTTTCCGTAATATCGCTCCAGAATATCATACCCGTTCGAAAAACAAAGTCTAAAGCTGTTGCCATTTTAGTGTTATTAACAATCGCCGTCATTTCTTGACGATCTAAAGCTACCTTCCTAATATCATGTCTTCTAGCAAAAAGAAGACTTGCGTGACCTTCTGCTGCCTTGCAACGTGTTAAATTTTTGGGATCTTTTAGATAACCAGGAGCACAATTACATTTAAATGTTCCTTTCTCATTTCGACAAAATTGGGAACAACTTCCTGGCTCTAAGCATTCATCAATATCTATAACATAAACATTTTTATTTATTATCTTTCTACATATATATTTTTATTTAATTTATTTTTCTTACCATCGCAGGTTCGATTGTCGATCAACTTGTAACCCGGTCTGCAATCACAACGATAGCCAATAGGAAGATTAATACATAATTGTGAACATCCACCATTATCTTTGGCACATTCATCTACATTGCAAAGGTCGGCTCTTTCATCCTCCCAATTGAGACAATCCATTTTCTTATCACACACACTTTCGAGGGGAATGCATGAAGCTTCACTGCATTCAAATTGTGTTAATGGATTGCATACAGCAGCTTTTATTGTACAATTCTTTTCGTCACTCCCATCAAAACACTCAGCTTTATCATTACAGTATAAGTGACCTAAATATGCCAAATTGAATATTATTAAATTCTATATAAAACATTTAACTTCTTTATTTATATTTTATACATTACCTGGTATACATGTACGGCGATCTTCACATTGGAATTGATCAGGTCTACAAGTAATATTATGACATCTTTGTGGCGATTCATCTGCACCGTTTGGACAGTCTTTATCGCCATCACACACCCAGCTTTGATGTATACAAGTAACACCATCATCACAGTTAAATTCTTTTGTATCACAATGGTTTGGCTTCTGTCCAGATATAACTCCCTTATAAGAGAAAATTTAGTTTATTATATTGTTGAATAAATTATTTTATTCCACAATTTTATTATATTATAGTAGATATCATTATATCATATAGTACAAATTTTATTAGAAAAGATTTAGAGTTGTACCTTACAACCAATCTCATCAGAATGATCAGGACAATCATAATCGCCATCGCATCTCCATTGTGCTATGATACAGAAGTACTCTGTACAAGCAAAATCTGTCACAGGATTGCACGTAGTTGGAGTACAGTTTTTTTCATCACTGCCATCCCCACAATCATCATCATGATCACAGACCCAATATTGTTGGATGCAATGCTTGTTTGCACATGTGAATTCATCAGACCGACAAGTATCATCTAAGATAATAAATTAGTAAATAGATAAGAACAACAATTAACTATATATTATAACTAATATATAGTACGTAACTACAACTAAAATTTATTAATTTATTTATTTAAACAAGTATATAGTAAAATAAACACAATTCATATATCAGTGATATAACGAATTTAACTTTTCTTTAAAAACTTTAAATAATAACATATAAAATAAGGAAAGAAATCAAATTTTCAAAATTATATTAAAGAGAACTGAGAATAGAAATACATATATATTTGAACGATGCACATAATATAAAATTAAACGAGAGATCGGACGATACTGTAAGCAATATAACTCAAGCAAATCATGCATGAAATATATGCATAAGACATATATACGTAGAATTAATATTTAGTAATTCAATATATGGTATAATAAATGTAATATTTGATATTAATTTAATTACATGACATGAATCTTGCCTACGTTATAGATCATTAAAAAAATATTAAATTAAATGAAGCACCAAATGTTTGTCCAATACAAAAATAAAAATTAAATGAAAAATAACTTTTACGATCCAAGCCCAGACTTTCTTCAAAAAACATGCTTCCTAATTAATACTTCAAATTAAAACGGATTTGTTTATCTCGAAGTCACTATATGTATATATATATATATATATATATATATATATATATATATATTCATTATATATATATATATATATTCATTATATATATATATATATATATATGTATATATAATATGTATATATAATGAATATATTCGGTATAACACGTAGTAAAAATGTTAAGATCACATGCGGTCGATTATTCGAAAGAATTATGAGCGGTAAAATCGAAAGAGAAACGAGAGTCTCTAGAGTATAAAAGAGAAGAAAGAAAGTACTTAAACCTCTTGATACCTACATACATGCTTGTTACGCGACAGAAAAAGAGAGAAAGAGAGAGAAAGAGAAAAAACGTCTTTATGAAACTCGAAAGCATAAAACAGCGCACGATCTTGTTTGCATGTAAATTGCGCTAAAGGGACCTGTTGAAATGCATCCATGGTACTAAAAAGAAAGTTCAAAAAAGTTCAGTCGGGATATCTGCAACAAACGTTAATTATCGTGCAACGTGCAACATGCGACGGTTACAAAGCTGCCAACGTACGACTATATAAAACAGAGAGAGAGAGAGAGAGAGAGAGAGAAAGAGAGAGAGAGAGAGAAAGAGAGGGAGAGAGAGAGAGAGAGAGAAAAAGAGAGGGAGAGAGAGAGAGAGGCAGAGCAAGGAAGGGGAGTGAAGTGCCAAGGGGGTGAACTGAGTAAAACGAGAAAAAAACAACAAATACAGAAAGCATAGCCCACGTGTGAAAGCTTACTACATTCAGCCTCGTCCGAGCCATCCGAACAGTCTGGATTGTCGTCACACATCCATGTTAATGCGATGCATTCGCCATATCCCGAACGACAAGTAAATTGTTCCGCGGTGCAATTCTTCGTTCCTAAAAGTTGACAACAATAAATTTCATCCTGTACACGGTTAACCGTGATTTGAATTGCGTGAGAGCGCGTAAGCGCTTCATGCACAAACTTTGTTAGTCGTTATCAGGCCATTTTCTAGTTTTTTTTTTTTTTTTTGATAAAAGAAAAAAGAACAGAAGGCTTTATTTTTTAAAACGCAAAATCGTCCCTTCTATTCGTAAAAGGAATCCAAATAGATTGCCTTGTGTTCAATTATTATTTCGTTTTATATGCTTTTTTATTTTTTTTTTTTTTTAATTTTCACAACGAATTTGCATTCTTTTCTTTTTTTCTTTTCTTTTTTACACACAATACGTTTTCTTTTAATATAAAACATATATGCGAATCATGGTATAGACGATAGAATATAGAAAAATGTCTTTATTCTTTATCACCTTGCACCCAAGTAATTACGTCTGTCCCGTTCGCTTTGATTTTTCATATTGATTTCTTTCCTTTTCCTTTGTCCGTGCTTCCTAAGATAAAATATTTCAATACTTAAAACTTACTATTACAATTTTTCTCATCCGAGCCGTCTTGACAATCGTTTTGATGATCGCATAACCAGCTATTTGGTATACATTCTCCTGAACCGCATTGAAATTTCTTGCTGCATATTTGTGCTCCTTTTCATGCGTCATATTCAATTTTATTTATATTAGATTAATTTATGAGCGTCTCCGTCTCCAAACAGGACATATACACGCAAATGTAGTGACTTTTCTTTGAAAGTCAATTACGATTATATTATCGATATGAAAATGAAGCAAATGAACATGTATATATATATATATATATATATATATATATAGGGATAGAGAGAGAGAGAGAGAGAGAGAGAGAGAGAGAGAGAGAAAATCATCATGATAATGTTTTCAAAAGATAGATTTTATTTAATCTTATTTATCTTAGTGAATTATTATTATAGTGTGAAAATTATCATCGTCATCATCTTTGATGATATTAAAAGATACATATAATTTTTGTCAAGAATTTTTATAAAACTCTAGTAACTGAATTAACAATACTTCCTTTCCCGTCTTGCCCTCCTTTACTCTTTCTCTGCTTCTATATATACCTACGTGCATCAAAATACACATTAACCTTTGATAGCCCGTATTAACATAGAATATGCATGTATTTTCATTGTTTTAGATTTCATATGGATAAAATAGAAACGAGAGTTAATAAAATTTGATTTGAAAAAAACATGATTCGACACTCGGATCGCGTTACAAGGCCTGACGTTTGTTTAACTATGCTAACGACATATTAAATTTTAAACGTCGGAGATTCTGAATTTTTTTATTATGCTATATCAACGAGCCAATAATATCAGACCTCGAGATTGCTCGGACATAATTTTAATTGTAATTCACGTTGAAAAGATTTAAACAATTCTTGAAAATTCAATGAAGAACTTTTAATATTTAATTCAATTTTTTTGTTCTTCTTTCTCTCTTATTGTGATATTGTTGAAAGATTATATTAAAATTATATGGACATTTTTAAGTTGCCTGTATGTGATCGTATTCGATATATATAATAGATTCAGATTTATAAAAGGTTTATTGAATAAATCGAAAAATCGATTGTTGTATATTCGTTCTATTAAAACTAATCACGATATTATATATATATGAATTATAGATACACAGTACAATTTTATCGTACAAAATTACCATCTTTTTATGGCTAAATTTTCAAATCACTATCATCATTCACTTTTTGTTATAGTTATATGAAGTGAATAAGTAACTTTTTATCGAAAAAAAACGATGGCTCCCGAGAACTAAAATACTTTATTCGAAAAAATTTTGTACATGATGCATTTAATTGTAATCAAACATTTACTTTTTTACGTCTTTGAATTTGATTTATCTAAAATAAACAACAAAAATGTAATTTTTATACGTACGTATAGAGTACGATAAGTGTATCGAGATATAATGTAGAAAATTATTGGATTTGAACTAAATATATTTTTAATATATTTCCCGTGTTATTTCTAGAAACTTTTCAACGATAGTGTACGTAAGTACGTATGTATGTATGTATGCTGCTTCACCTGCGTAAAACCGGTCGTTAAAGTTGCACTTTCACATACCGCAGTCTCCGTAGCAAGAAATTCGTGAAACGTGTACCATTCCGAACGACGTTTTTAAATTTCTTGATCGAGCTTCACCTTTTTTTTTCTTTTCTTTTCCTTTTTTTTTTTGTTTTTAATGTAAACGTATGGAAGCAACGTAGAAAAAAAAGAGAAAGAGAGAGAGAAGAAAGAGAGAAAGAGAAAGAGAGAAAGAGAAAGAGAGAGAGGAGAAAGAGAGAAAGAGGAAGAGAGAGAGAGAAATAAAAAACGAATTTTATTCGCGAGAATACAAAGAAGGGAAACGATCAAATTCGAATCGACGGTGCTCCCGATAGAATAACCAATACAATTACCATAAAATACGAGAGGATTTTCATGTCCCCTTTAAGCCGAATGTAATGCAATCCCAATAAAACAACATCCTTTTCAAATTTCGACATTTTCTCTCTTTCCCTCTCTCTCTCTCTCTCTCTCTCTCTCTCTCTCTCTCTCTCTCTCTCTCTCTCTCTCTTTCTATGAATAAGCACGTTATTTCCACAAGTTGTCCAATTTTAATCGATTTACGTGAATATTGTAAATTTTGATAAATCGATCAAAAAGAAGAAAAAAAAAAGAAAAAAAAAAGAAGAAAAAATCAAAATGCATCGTAAATCTTTTGGTTTTGTACAGCTATTTGCAGATTTTGGGTATGGCCATCGAAACTTCCGAAAAATTTGACGATATGAATACTTCATCATCGGTGCTATACAATTTTTTTGAAAGCTATGAATCAATTTCAAACAAGGCACCAAATACGCAAGTATATTTGCTACTTGTACTTTGTACCGTTCATTATGCACGCGCCGCATATCTTATTTCTTAAATATAAAAAAGAAGAAAATAAAAAGAGTAGTAAAGAAAGAAAAGAAGGAGAGAAAAAGAAAGAGAGAGAGAGAGAGAGAGAGAGAGAGAGAGAATAAATGGAAATAAATAATAGAAAAAAAAAATTTTTAGCTTAAAAAAGAAAAATTTACGATTTTAACGTAATCGATTTAAAAAATTAGAAAGAACGATATATGATGAGCATGGTGGTATGAAGAAAATTAAAGAAAAGACTTACTGCAAATATTCGGATCTTCATCGGAATCGTCGTCACAATCCTTTTCCCCATCGCAATGCCATACTCCAGGTATGCACCTGCCACTGGCACACTTGAAGTCGTTTTCCCCACATTGTTGAGTACCTGAAAATTGGTGGCTGTAACGATGATCTTGTTGAATAGCAGGAATGAAGATCGCAATGAATGATAGCAGCCACAGCAGCCTTGCGCACGTGAAACCAGTCGAATGGTGGAGGAAGAAACATGAGTTCCTGAAGGGCTGCATTATTGGCAGACGTTCTTTCTTTACGCACTTTTGTGTGTATGTGTGTGTATGTGTGTTCGGTGCACGCGTGTATTTATACGTTCGTCTGATACGTCACGTTATTTTGTTCCGTTTACACACTCGCTTCTATAGAAAATGATGCAGCAACTTTCTTTTTTTTTCTTATATTTTTTTGTGAGTAATAAATGAATCGTATTACGACGGCTAACGAACCAATAATTGCCACATCAATTTTTGTTCTTGCCGTTATTATTATCTTTTCTCTCTTTTTTTTTTTTAATAAACTCTTCAAATTTTTAATAACACAATTTCCAATACCACTTCGTTGTTTCTCGATAAAATGGCATCACGATATTCTCGTTTCTATCGACTAAAGCTCTTCCGAATTACTATTATTCGTTTCATTTATACTAAACATCGTTCGCCGACTGAGTCGAGTTTTTTATACGATCCGAGTTCCTCGAGTGCACACACGTTGAACGTGAGCCAGCAAATAGAGTAAACCAGGCGTTCTCTAGACGATAATCGACTGACTGACTGACTGACTGTTTTTTTACAAGCTTGTCGATCTTTCTTGATCGAACGGTATCCCTTGAAGAAGACGATGATGCACTGTTCTCCGACGTCCAGACCACTCTTGGGAGAACTCTTTACTTTCGTCCACACCAACCAAGAGAAAACTACCCAGCTTGTACCCTCTCCTTTCACGTATCTCGTTTTTATTAAACTAATTTTATACCGAAGAAAAATTCATACACGTTAAATTTTAGTAATTATATTATTTCGCAATTATGAAAATCAATAGGAATTGATACATTGAAAAATTCTTCCAATAAGTTTTCAATTTCATAAATTGATTTTGTCGAACGAAAAATATAAATGTCTATTTTATCTCGTCCGATTATCTTGCTTTTAAAAAAGCATCATAAATTATATATATATGTATACGTCTATTTATGTTAAATATGTACTTGATGGATAGAAAAACACAATAAAAGCACAAAGAAATAATGTAATCCTTTCCGAAAGGAGAATTCGTGGTCGGTGCAGTCAATACGATTTGATTCACTCGCGGTAGAAGTCGCGGATGCTGTAAGCTCGCGCCCGAGGAAAGAGGCCCTATATATGGGCCTCGGCACGAACACATCGATAAGTATATTGAGGGTGGGGAGGGGGAAAGAGGAGTTAGTAGCCGGTCTGTACGTGTCTGCGTTTTTACGAATAAATGTGTGCGTGCGTGTCTTCTGTCGACGACGTTAAAAAACGGTACGTTAAACGTATCTTGTTTCGAAAAATAAAAAAATAAAAAAACAAAAAATGGACACGTTTTTCTTTCTTAATCGCGTAATAGGATCGGTACTGTTAACAGCAGCGTTATTTTGACTTTCCGATATTAATTTCGACTTGGCGAATAATTGTAATTATTTAGAATAAATAATTGTATTTATTTATAATTATTTAATACACATTTTTTTTTACGCAATAAAAGATCGGAATCTCGTGTTAAATCTGTCTAAATGATTTTGCAGACTTTCGAAATAACGAGAATGTGAAAATCAACGTGAGATTACATCAGCATTAGAAAGATTAGAAAAACATAGGATATCTCAAAGCTATGCAGGTAAACTATCGATTATTCGTTCGTACTTATACTTATATAATATTTATATATATGGATTCTGTACACAAAATACGATGCACGTTAAAAAAATAAAAAAATAAAAAATGCATATAAAACGAAAGTCAAGCGCTATAATTATCTTGCACTATGTTTATGATATTCAAAGTATGTAAATGAAAAAAGAAAAAGAAGGAATAAAGCGAATAAAATACGTCAATCGATATAAGACGATCGATAATAAATAATTGCATGAGGTTTTAATCGCGAATAGATAAAAAGTACGAAGTTTACAAGTATATATTCTAGTTTTCTAGTGCATCGCAGCGCGATTCCTTTCTGTGGATATTGAGGTTGAATTACCTATTTAGGATGAGAGCCCGGATATATACATTCACCTATGCATGTAGTATCAAATACACGTTATTCCGCACGAGCTAATCGTAATACATTTCTTATGTGAGTCACGTTTTTTTTCCATTCCTCACCTTTTACATTGCAAAATAATTGTAATCCTTTTATTTCACGTAGAAATTATTCAAGATTAGTGTTAATTTTTTTCTCTTTCTTTCTCTCTCCTTCTCTTTCGTTAAAATTATAATTTTTAAAGCTTAATAAACAATAATGAAATATCTGATATTTTTATCATTATTTATATTATCTTTTTCTTTTCTTTTGTTTTTTTTTCTTTTTTTTACATTTTTATTATAATTTCGTTTCGAAGATTTCAATGCTATCAAATAATACGTTCAAATTCCAATAGATAAATAAAACGATTTAAAAGAATGTCCTTTGTCGTAAAACGATCGCGTGGATCATCAATGATGATTATATTCAATAGTTGATAAAAAATACGTGGCATAAAAATCACGTGATGATATACATTGGTGTCAGACGATAATGATGACCCCTATTCATAAGTCGGCTAAAAAATTCTTAAACTGCGAAGAAAAGATAATAATGTCGAACGTTGAGTTTAAAACGATAGAAAAAACGTAAATGATACGTTTTTTTTTTCGTTATAAACAAAAAAAGCATTTCGTTTCCCCACTTATTCGTTCGCATTCAATTTCGATCTCTTTATCGTTCGTTAAATAATTCCTAAGATTTTCTTTTGTCAATTCTTTAAACCAAATTGCATTTATCCGCAAGAAGATTGATTGAGAGAAAAAAATGATTGAGCGCTACTCTCATTTATTTGATTATATCTTTTGTTAAATTTTCTGAGACATTAAGCATAAAACGTTCAATGTAATTTATAATTCTGCTAACGGCGATAGTTTTTCCAGATGTACATATGTACTTACTTATATATGTTCATATACACACACACACACAAATCTTTTATTGTATTCCGGAATTTTCTTTTTTTTTCATTTTTCTTTTATTTCTTCGTTAATCGATTTCCGATGAAAGAAAAAAATTGAGAAAACTCTATATTCACCGAATTTATTTATAAATAATTTCTTTTTAAATATTTAGGTATCAGTACGAGTCATTCGTAAGTAGACAGTAATCAATTTCCTCATTACATTGTTATTTTGTATGTAATTTTAATTTGCAATATTCTATAACTATCCGTTATAAGTTAGGCTTTTAATATTACAATATTAAAAAGAAATTGGCTTAAAAAGTCTTTAAAAAGAGTAATTGATCTTTACTTTCGGATCTTTAAGATCATGTAGGAAATTTTGTATCACTGAACTTTTGGCCTATGCTATACATATGTATGTAAATATATATATATATATATATATATATTTATTTACATACATATGTATAAATTAAAATAAATAAAATTATAATTATATATATATATGTAGACTTATTTTTATCAAATATTTTTGTCAAATTTATATATATATATACATATATTTTGTTTGTGTTATTAGCGAAGATTCAGAAGAGAAAGATGAACTCAGAAAGTTGTCGACATGTACAGAAGAAAAGGGGAACGGTCGTCTCGTTCGTTCGTTCGTTCGTTCGTTCGGCAACAGTCCATCAGTTTTAATCAAAGGCGTAATACGGGACAAGATTCTTTAGGAGGCCAGAAACCCAGCATGCTCTTTCCAAGCGTACCTCCATTAACGAACCTCGAACCTTGCGTGTGCACAATATATATATATAACATACGAGTGTATATGAAGTGTGCTTATCTACATGTATAATACATACACGAACAAATCCGATTTTCATATGAATATGTACGTGCATATATATACGTGTCAAATGCATCTTTAACATATATCTACAAATAGAAATATTCGTGCATTTCTAGTGCGTAAAACTCCTATTATGAAAATTCTTTATTTCCGTAATTTATATAAAACACTCGCACGAAACTCATCGTAACACATCCGTGAAAGCATGTTGTATTATTAACGTTTGGAAATTTGAACAATTAGTTAAGGAGTTCGAATAATTAAGTTCGAAATGGTTTTAAAGTATACTCGAATGGTACATAGGGTGGGTCAAAAGTTTTTAGGCAGAATCAAAAGTTTCTATGGAGCATTGGTAGTTTTACAATTTGAAAAGGAAAAGAAAAAAAGACAAAGAAAGAGAGAAAGAAACGTTCGTATTAAAAAGGTCTCAAAAAAATGAATAATTGATATTTATTTATCGCTCATATTAGAAGAGAAAGAAAATTGAATCATTCAATCGCTTTACCTTGAATGGTCTTTCGTTTCGTTCATAGGAAAATAGGATTGCTTCGATGAATCGAACGAATACGAGAATACGTTTCATTCATGGAAGATGTTATAATCGTTTTAGTGTTCAACGACGCGATGTCATTACGTATACTAAATGGATTATTCGTCGCTCGCTCTTTCTCTCTCTCTCTCTCTCTATATATATATATATACATATATATATATATATATATATATATATATATACACATACATATTTATTGTAACCCGCAAGGCAACAGCACTTTTAAAGAGACTACGTCGCTTTGTCGTTATCGATTTGACTTTTTTATGAGTATTAAAATGGCTGTTATTTATTTATTCGGGATCATTATTTTTAAACATTCGATTAGCATTTTAAATAAATGATCAATAATTTAAATAAAATAATAGCACGTAATCCGACTCTATAATACCTACACTTAATTGTTTATCACTGATCAGAATATTCATCTGTTACTGATTATACATTTTACAAAGTGGTTATCATTTAATAAAAAAATATTAATCAAATAAATAAAAATGTATTAAAATATCTCGTAAGAAATACATCGTAAAGTATATAGTGTTATATATGTCATCGTGCTTAATACATCATTATTTATACTTTCGTGAAATTAAAAAATGCATTTATTTATGGGATTTTTGATCGTTTGGACTTATTAATTTGGACAATTAATTGAAAAAAATATTATCACATGTTAAGAAGAAAAATAGTAAGAAAACAATCTTTTTAAATTTTATTCGAAAAAATTTAATCTATTTTACTTTAGGTATGATAGTTTACTTATTATAAAGAAAATACAGTTTGTATCAATAAAAGGAATAAAACGTAGTATTTTGAACGTCACTGTTTTCTTCTGTATGTGCGTTACTGCGAAAAACTTATTGTTGTCATATTGCGTATATATACTTGTGTGTTGTGTATGTGTGTGTGTGTGTGTGTGTGAGAGAGAGAGAGAATACTTTTAGCAATCGTAAACTTTGAAGGCGATTTTTTTTCAAAACTAGAAGATACATATGTACTGCCTTTCGTGATTGTACAACACATGTCATTTACTTTATCTACTTTGCTGTAGAACTTTAAATGCATTGTTTCGTGTACTCCGAATATTTGTTTCGCAAATTTTTTGTTTTATTTAAATCTTTATTATTTCTTTTTCCTTTGTTATTCTCTTTTTATTACTTTTTTTTTATTATTGTCTACTTCAAAGAAGATAGAAAAATAAAAATATGTGTCTGATATTTAGCAAAATTTATAAATATAGGTATCTATTGTCTACATAAATCGGTAAAAGTTATTTGAAACGGTGTTAATTTCTCATCTCGTTACACATCGTTCGTTGATTAAGTAACAAAATTCAATTAATAAATGTACTTATTCGAAAACAATGTTTCTCTTTCTCTCTCTAACAAATTTCCCTACTCTTAACAGTCGTAATGTCACGAATTAGGGCAAATTTATAGCGTCCCTAAACACCTTCCGTATTCTACTACGTCACAAAGCGATTTTGTAAATCGCGAGCTTCATTAGTATTATGAATTTTAAGCGAGTAAATGTCGTCAGAATGTAGATTTTATTTAAACTAACGCTTACGCCATATATTAGCAGCTATTTATATTCTCTGTCTTTGTCTGTCTCTCTCTCTCTCTCTCGCTCCCTCTTTCTCTCTCTCTTTCTCTCTATCTATCTCTATCTGACGACTTTGCATTCTTTAAACACTTAATGACGATCTTATTACTTTCTCTATTTAAACTTTTCAAATCATCGACAGAAGAAAAAGAATATATACATTTTTTTAATAATATAGAAAGAGAATGTTAAAAGTAAAATAGCAAGTTTTAGATGATAATAATAATAATAATAATAATAATAATAATAAAAATAATAATAATAATAAATATATAATAAAAATAATAATAATTATGATAAACTTATTTAAATTATTTAAGCTTTTTGAATTATCGATAAAAGAAAAAGAGAAAGAGAAAGAGAGAAAGAAAGAAAGAGAGAAAGAAAGAGAGAGAAAAATCTATCAACAACAAAAGCATAAAAGATTCGTATAGAGCTTGTTGGAGCATGTAACCATAAACTTTAGAGCATTCCTCGTACATTGTATACATGAATTATAATACACAAATGCTCGTGCATTCATCTCGAGATCGCGTAAAGTATTGTACGTTATGTTTTTATTTAATTGAATTTTATTTTATTTGTATTTACTCTCTTGTTTTTCTTTTTTTCTTTTTTTTTACTTTATTTTTTTCAATTATAATACACACGTCGACAATTCTTGTCATAAATGAACAAACGTAATAAAAAAAAAGAAGCTTATTCTTGCGCAGGAATAAATTTACTGTTACATTATTACATTTCGAATATAAAATTTCACTATTGTGCGCACGTTCTTCTTCTTTTTTTCTTTCCTTTTAATAATTCCATGCAACATTGGTTGTGTGTGTATGTGTGTTTGAGTTTTATTGTTTTCGAAACGATGTCATTTATGTTTCGGATCTTTGATAGTTGGAACAGATGGAATTTATGGACGAAAGGACAAATCTTGTTGAAATTTTTTTTCATAACAATTATATGAAATCTTTTGATTTTTATGAAATTTAAAGGATTCCATTGAATATATTGTTTTGTAGATTTATGAGAAAAATCTTGTAGAATTTGTGAAAATAAATAATGGTGAAAGATAATAGTTGGTATAGTATAGTTATACAATATATGGTAATAGTTAGGAAATAGTATAATTAGAAAATATTGTAAATATTGATATATATTTTTTTTCTTTTGTTATTTTGTTCTATTATAATATTTACAAGAAAATGTATAATGTGTACATATATATATATGCTATATTATGTTTAAAAAAAAATTTATATGTTGTAGTAATGTTTTTTTCATCAAAAGATCAAAGGTTTGTAAGTATCAGAAAATTGAAACATATTATTTAAATAAACACATAAATTAAAAAAGAGGAGTGAATATTCATATTACTTTCTAGTTCATTGCGATACACCTAATCATTCGTATCATATATAGAAAAAGCATAAAATAAGTGACTTCCTTATACATATATTATAATATTTATATCAAAAAATGTAATTATGTGACGAAGCTTTTGCGTTAGAGAAAACGCATCTTAACATTCACACGAATACATCCTAAGGACTATGAGAGCTGAATACCAAATTACTTTTCTTTCTTTTTTTACTTTTTTTATTTTTTACATAAATAAACTTTATTATGAATATAAGCGATAACTAACAAAATTATTGCTACATTTAATTTTTTTTTTTATAAAATATATATATATGTATTTTTTTTTTTTTATTATAATTATTCTATCAATTTTTATTTATATTAATTTCAACCGAATTTCAAATTAATTTTTATTTTGTATATATTTTTATAATTATGTTATTTATTTTTTGCCCTTGAAATAATTTTTAATATCCAAATCCGGTCCCTCCCATAGAGATATTTGAAATTAAAAATAAAGATAATCTCAATCCGCTACAAACATTTTCTTTTTCGAGATATTTTGACGTTTCGATTTGAATTATTTTAAAAATTATTTTTCTGCTTTAACAAACAGAAAATGAAGGCATATGTATATTTATTCTTGAAAAATAATCCTTTTATGTAATTTAAAACTTTTTAAAACTAACGTATGAAACAAAATATGTCTTTTAATATCTCAAATTACTTAGACCACTTTTATCATCATCAGCTTGTATTATCTGTCACTATAACACCGTCTTAAAAAATTTCACTGGAAAATTTTCTGTTTTTCAAATATTATATTTTGTATATAATACATATACAAAAAAAAAATAAATATATAAATAAATAAATAAATAAAATGTTACTATCAAGAAAAATGTTTTACCATCGAAACATCTCATATATGTGTGTGACGTAGATTAACGTATAAAAACAGTACAAGTTCTTTCTGTCTGGAATTATTTGGAAGCAGTAAAAGCGATCCAATAATACTTTTACATACATATATAGTTAATCTATATATATATATATATATATATATATATATATATATATCTAGTTACAACAAACATATTAAAGATGGTAGGCGATGGTTGGTTGAATCGTGACTCGCAATAACACGCTAAAGAGGTATAGCTCTTCTTTTATTTAAGTTTTTGCGCCTACGTGAGTAGCATCGTATTAAACGTATCGTAGGCGTC